CTCCTTAAACCTAACAATGTTGTTGTTGTTGTTGTTAAGTGCCGTCAAGTTGGTTCCGACCCATAGCGAACCTGTACAGGGTTTCCGAGGGTGTAAATCCTTACAGGAGTAGAAAGCCTCATCTTTCTCCCGCGGAGCAGATGGTAGTTTTGAACCGCTGACCTTAAGGTTTGCAGCCCGATTCGGAACCACTATGCTACAACTTAAAATTTAAAAAAGAACTAGAGAAAAATTTCAAACCTCTATTTACCATACTGGAGGATTCCGTGGACTTGGATCCACAATAAACATTCATGGAAGCAGCACAGTCAAGAAATCAAATGAAGCATTGCATTAGGTAAATCTACTGCACAAGAGCACTTTAAAGTGTTCAAGAGCAAAGATGTCAGTTTGAGGCCTAAAGTGTGTGACCCAAGCAATGGTATTTTCAGTAGTCTTATATGTTGGACAAAGTTGGACAAAGAATAAGGCAGACCATAGAAGAACTGATGCATTTGGGTAATGGTACTGAAGGAGAATATTCAAAGTACCATGGACTGCCAGAAGAACAAACGCATCTCTATTGGAGGAAGTATAGTCAAACTACTCTTTAGATTGCAAGTCTTTGTGTCTCATACTTAAGACATGTTATCAAGAGGGACCAGTCACTGGAGAACAACATACTTGCTAAAGTGGAGACTCAGCAAAAAAGAGGAAGACCCCCAACAAGATAGACTGGCACAGTGACAGCAGCAATAGGCTCAAGGGTTAATAATAACTGTAAGGATGACGCAGGACTGGGCAGTGTTTCCTTTGGTTGTACATAGGGTTGCCATGAGTCAGAACCAATATGATGGCACCTAACAATCACAACCACAACAAAATATGAGACCAAAAGGTCAAAAATTGCTAAACAGCAAGACCAAAAGACAAGGCAAACTAGAGTACTAGAAACTAAACAATCAGAACACAATTGAAGAAAATGTTGACACATTTTAAAAATGTAACTAATGTCACTGAACAATTTCTGTAGAATTGTCAAATGGGAACCCTATTTGCTGTGTAACCTTTAATCAAAAACATAGTAAAATACATTTTAAAAATCTATTCAGCAATCTTCATTTCTTTGGAGATAGTGAATTGATTATGCAGTGAGTGAGCTTGTTATGTCAAGGGATGAACTCCTGAAGTTTGCTTATGTACCTACACTTTGGTTCTTCAGAACACTATGAAAATTCTTAGGCATATGGCTTTCAGGAATCAGCGGATGAACAATATCACTGGTGATAAATGTTCCCAGAGCAATCAGTCATATGAGACCAAAAGGGTAAAACAAAGTTCAGAAGGCAGGAAAGATGGGCAAGTGGAAACAGGGAACCCAGAGCCCAATTAGAAAGTAGGAAGAGTGCTGCTACATTTAGGCAATCGCAACTAATGCTACAAAACAAAATGTGTATAAATTGGTGAATAGAGAAAGAATTTACTCCATAAACTTTTACCAAAACCACAATAAAATGTTCAAAAC